TATCGTCATAACGTCATAGTCAGAATGATCGATGGATTTTTAATTTTTGCAATGATATATATTTGTTGTCTTATCGACGTTCTATGTGGATCTAAATTACCTAGAAAATAATTGACTTGCACCTGGAAAACACGCAAGATATTTGAAATCCAACTTCAAAGTACAATTTTATATCTGCCCATCAATGGAAGTCGTACGAGTATTTACCTTATAATCATATCATCAGATCAGATCCCAAACCAGCCATTAGATTCGATATTTATTATGGGACAGGCTAAAAGAGAAATATAAAAAACTCAAATAGCGAAAACGATTTCTCAGGCATGGAACGTGCAAGAAATCGCCAGTTTGATATTATTTTTGGCCAGATATACAGATATAACGCTTGAATTGCCCATCCTGATTTTTTATTGGGGTGTGATAATAAAATTTTGCTGAAAATTGAATTGATATACATAGTATACGAATGAATGTGTGTATATAGATGGGGGTGCTAAAAAAGACATCAATTTATGAGTTGGAAAATTTTCAGAAAACAAAAAACAAACAAAAAAATTCGCCCTGCCCCCCACCACACCTTAGCAGTATCAACAGAGATGGCAAGGAACGATCTGAGGAGTGTTTCCATTAGGCCGAAATGCATTTGAGCTCCGTTTCTGTGGCTTTTTAATGACAATTCAATTATTCCATTTGCGGGTTATTGTCACCGTTTCAGCATTTAATTTCAGAATTTCACATGCAAACAAATAATTACGGCAAATAGAATTTCGCAGGTGCTGTCGAGTGCTTGGACGGTTGGGTTTGGGAATGGGAATGGGAGTGGGATGGGGATGGGGCCAGCACTTGGACGTTAGATAAATGCCTTTGAAGAGACATAGCTAGACCAAGGCTAGGCACTGCTGGGGCTTCTGCCAACGAAGGTGGATGGATAGTGGAAAACGGAACAAAACGGTAGACAAGGGTTGTTGCTTTTTAGCCCGGTCAATTGAGTGTGCCTAAAAAAAGAAATAAAACATGGAGACCAGACCCAGACCCAGACCCCTCCCGACATTATATCATCAGAATTGGCCTGACTCATAATTCGGGATAAAAGCCCGCTTTTGGGATGGCTACTGGGCACTGGGAAGTGGAGGTACATGCCCCAAACCAGTTTTGACGAGAACTTCCTTACGATCGTCCCCAGGCCAGGCGACATTTGTCGTGAAAGGAACACGCAACCAACTCATGATTCCCTCCATTTCCGATGATTCCCCCAGATATTATCATGCAAGACTCGCTTAGAATCGCTTAACTCGTAAATTCGTAAAAACGTGAATGCTAATTGCAATTGTATTTTCTGTTTTCTGTTTTATTTTGTTTTTAAGTTTTTGTGCCTGTCGAAATGAGTATTTCGCTGAGTATCTCTCTCTTTTTATTAGCATTCTCCTCCTCTCCTTGCTTTTATGGCAAGATACTTTTTGTTCAACTTAAATGGATGTATTTGGATGACAGCCAGCTTTGTCCGGAATCGTTCTCTGGCTCAGGTGGAATGGGGAAAGGAAATCGAGACTGCGGCTATTGGGGGAAAAGTTCGATTCGTCGAGACTCCAGCGAAAGATCATTATAGATTCCGTTTGGCGGGCGGGCGTGTATTCGCTTCCGGAACCTGTTCTCGAAGACAACTTTCAGCTGGTGTCGGCCCGGGGGGATAGGATACGATATTCAATGCAATTGAAAATTATTGGATTCTATCGCAGCATTAATGACCACAATTCGGAGAAATTTATTGTTACTTTATTGTTTCTGATCTAAACTGGAACAAAATAAACTCCAAGTCGATGGAATGTGTTTGGATAGCATTCGAGTTTCCATTTCCCATTGAATGAAAATAAATGGATCTACAGTATTTTGTTTGCCTTTCGTGTATGGATTGAGTTACTTTTCGCCAATTGCAGGCGCGTTCTCCGCTTCCCCTTCCCTTCCCTTCCCATCCCAACCCTTCCCTTTCCATAGCTTTCTGTGTATTTTCCTTTATTTTTATACTGTTTGCCCAGGTGTGCCATTTCTTGCTATTGTTTACCCACTCCTACGGTTATTTAGACACCACACCATCCATTGTTAGCAGAGCAGACACACAGGCTATACAAAATACAGGAGAAACGTCGCCAGGTGATCTTACTTGAAACATTTACATCAGAAAGCAGCAACTTGATAAACAATCAAAAACAAAATCTGAGCCGAGCTGAGTTAAGTAAATAAATCAAATATACTACGTACATCAGCCTCTGGTTGAGAAGAGATGAGTATCTTCATAGGTTTTCCAGCTGGCGTCCAGCAGTTCTCGCATGATTACGTATTATAAAAGGAAAGGTGTTAAATATGGCCCGAAATTTGCACCTGACTGCTAAGTTATCAAAGGATCGTGCATGGACCGGACTCGACACGGCCACGGCTCCCTCCAATTCCTATGTATGCGAGACACGGCGTATACGTGATTTGCATACGTCATGCGGGCCTTGATTTTTGCTTGATTTTGTGACTCGCACTCAAAATTTTTTGTTGACTGTCACAAGGGGGGAGGCAATCGGATACGGGAGTTAGGAACTTTCCTTTGATAAATGCATTCCACCTGACTTTTGTTCATTATCAATTAAATGTGGGACTTTGGCAATCAACAAAATGAACGCCAAAAGCTACAGGGCTTTTGACGCTTTGAGCTCGGTCATTTATCATGTGACAAATGAGGCTTTGAAGCTTTGCCCTGTGTCTTCTGGTTAGATAAGACCCGCTGGCAGACCCGTGCCTTGGGGTCTGCACTTGGACATATGTACAATGTACAATGTACATACACATGTATTCCTATGTACTTATAAGTCATTTGTTGGTTTGTCTTAGGCAACAAACCCTACAATATTCCCTTCCATCGACTAACACACCCAAAACATACCGCACTCTTGCGGTTTATCTGGAGCGTGCGTCTGCAACGATCCTATCACATGACTACTCGCTCCAAAGGCGGTCTCCAGAGTGATTTTACTGGCACGTGACGTTGTTCTCCGAGTCAACATTTGCTCTCACTTTGCGCACGACCGACAGTAATTAAAAAATTCGTATGGTATGAGTACATACTTTTATAAATTATAAACTGCAGCAAACAGGAGAACAGAACGGGAAATACATTTGTTGCCACAGCCGGTTGTTCAGATAACATTTCCACGCAAATATTATGAGCATCAGATGAGCCGTCCCGGAGTTCCGACGGACTGCCGCGGCATTTGCATTCATAACATAAAATGTTAGATTAACCAAAAGTCTTAGCAAATAACTATAAATATTAATTCAAAATTATCAATTTCCATGTCTATAGATGAAGCCATTGATTTTAGTTCCCATACTTTTTAAGTACATGTCCTAAAAGAATGCCTTCGTCGTAAATGGAGTCCTAATCGTTCGCATTCAAACTTCAATGCAATGATTTGTCTTTTGGGAAATTGAAATTTAATTACAACCATAATGACCCATAATTACTATTCGGCGAAGAGTGACAATAACTCAAATGGGAATAAAATGAATTGAGTTGATTGATTGTTTCTTATTTATTAATACGACGCTGAGGGGACTTACTGTTTTGACCCATCAATTAGTGAACAAATATCTAATGACAGTTCAAATTTATTCATTGTATTCCCCAGGACCCGCGCACTGGGCCAAGGACTATCCACAGGCGTCCGGACATCGCCAGTCGCCCGTGGACATTACGCCCTCCAGCGCCAAGAAGGGAAGTGAGCTGAAAGCCTCCGCACTCAAGTGGAAGTATGTGCCAGAGCACACCAAGAGCCTGGTCAATCCCGGTAAGTGGACGCTGAATGCCGGACAGCCATGGAGGAGCATAGGCTAATCGAATCAATCGTTTAAAGGCTACTGCTGGCGCGTGGATGTGAATGGGACAGAATCGCAGCTGACTGGCGGTCCTCTGGGCGATCAGATCTTCAAGCTGGAGCAGTTCCACTGCCACTGGGGATGCACAGACTCTAAGGGCTCTGAGCACACCGTCGATGGAGTGTCCTACGCCGGTGAGCTGCACCTGGTCCACTGGAATACCACCAAGTACAAGTCCTTCGGCGAGGCAGCCGCTGCTCCCGATGGTTTGGCTGTGCTGGGCGTGTTCCTGCAGGCCGGCAAGCACCATGCCGAGTTGGACAAGGTCAGCAGCCTGCTGCAGTTCGTCCTGCACAAGGGTGACCGTGTAACCCTTCCCAATGGCTGCGATCCCGGCCAGCTTCTGCCTGATGTTCACACCTACTGGACGTACGAGGGCTCCCTGACCACACCCCCCTGCTCGGAGTGTGTTATCTGGATCGTGTTCAAGACTCCGATCGAGGTGTCCGACGACCAGCTGAATGCCATGCGCAACCTCAACGCCTACGACGTTAAGGAGGAGTGCCCCTGCAATGAGTTCAACGGAAAGGTCATCAACAACTTCCGTCCCCCCCTGCCGCTGGGAAAGCGCGAGCTGCGCGAGATTGGCGGCCATTGAGGTGGATTTATGGGGGAAATTGGTCAACACAGAGCAGTCTTTGGATAGTCAATGGATTTAAGTCGTTCGATTAGTTGTTCGCACCTCGCACCACGCTGCGAGCGCGCACCGATTAGCGAATACAATAGGCCTATGCCGTGAGCAGGACCAGCCCGAGCACATCCCACTGTTCACTTCTCGTCTTTAGTTCGTACTACTCCCAGCAAGCACACATACATACCTCCAATATGTGTCTATCTGTATCTGGTCACGCGTAGCTGTATCTGTAACTTTATCTGTTATTTATCTGTATGTTCGTTTTTTGATTATTTGTTTGTTCAACGTTTGCAAAATGACAATTAGTATAATATTACATATTACATATAACATATTATGGTATTACAATCTAAATATAACACAATTGAATGTTGCATATGAAAACAAAGTATATGTTTTTTAATTCAATCGTACGGCAATCATTCACAGCGTTTGGGGACACATGTTCCTCCACTACATGGTATTCCGAACCCTTGACTGTACATATTCCATCATCTCAATCGATGTCACCAATTTTCTACCAATTTCTGATGAATTTAACGCCGTGGCTCGGATTTACTCGGTGTGAAACAGGTGTAAGCGCAGCAGCAAAACACTTTCCTGTGTCGCTGCCGACCCCTGGTGTGAAGTGTCATTCCCAGTTAGGGTTTCCGGCAATTACGGTCTGTTTTAGTAGATATCTAAGCAGAGGTGTACAAAAAGAGGTGGCAATGGCAGCTGACTGGAGTCGGGATTCGACTTAGTCGCTATTAACACCCTTCTTTACACAGTCGTATATGGATTTGCCATCAGCCATCCGCTAGTATGATACCATTCACCATTCGCTGTCAGAAGTAAATATAAGATGTCAATAAAAGGGCTCATAAGTTTTCCAAGCTACTGATCCTTACCGGATTTCACTTGGAAGGAGACGACCAATGCTTTGCTTATTCAGTTTTCGAAGTAAAATTGAGCAACTCATTGGGCTTGCAGGTCCACTGCAGAAAGTATTCCCGTTTCAATTGGCACCACGCTTGCTGATAATCCTCACACAAATCCTTGCAGGAAGCATAAGACATTTGCTCCAGATCGAAAATGTTTTTTTGAAACTTTTCACGCAATTCTGCATGCGAATGTAGCATGTTTAGGAATTTTAGAAACAGTTTGAACTTGCTAACTGCTAAAGCAGCTTGGGCGGATCCAAGTTTTTTTTTTGTCACGCCTTGGCGCTTGCCATTTACAGAGATCTCATAGGGCCTGCAGGCAGATAGAAGTTAGACGGTTTTTAAAAGCGATTACCTAAAATAAAAACTTACCTGAGATCATTTGGCACCTGTGACCAAACCAATCCATTGGGGGAGGGCTGCCAGTCACCGCGCTGTGCATACTCAAAGGAAAGACTGCCGTCGATGCGTATTTGTGGCTGGTGGGGTTGGAATCGCGCGTGCTTAGAGTCCCGCCCTTGCCCTTGCCAGCGCTTGTAGATGGCCCGCTCCACGGACTCCTGACGCGCCTCAGTACAGCAAAAGTTGAGGGTGCTGAAATATATGGGCTTGGAGAGCAAAGAGTCGATCAGCGCCCCTTGGACGCCAAGCACGTTCCAGCGGGCTAGCTTATCACTACACGACATGGACAGAGTGCGCACGCCACGACCGGGCTTAGTGCGTAGGGCTCCCGGCGTCTGCTGCATGTCGTCGGTCATATCTTCAGACATCTGACCTCCTATCAGCTTGCCGCCAGTGTACACTATCTCAGAGTTCTCGTCCAGTCGCTGACGCTTTGCCTTCTTCTCGACTACCCTTGCTACGGACTCTTCCACAATACAGGCGTCCCCACATGGCGTCTGAGTGCTGAAGAAATGATACTCCACGTGCGCACTGAGATCAAATGAACCACGCTTGGCGGCCCATTGGAAGATACGGTCGTGCTCCAGTTCGTGGTACAGATACCGTAAGAAGGCTCGGCGTGCCAATACTTCAGCATGGGAGTCGTTCAGAATGAATCCTTTCGGGCAGTGTCTGGTGTAACCAATGCACTTTGTCCCACATCCCAGAGCCACCACCCGACTATCTCTCGTCTGACGGTTGTGCTCCACAACGCATGCCAAAACAGTCCATTGGTTGCCCGAGGGCTTGCCGGTTTTGGGCAACGATTTGAATTTTTCATAGCAAATGTTGGCTATATCCTGAATAGATGGACTTGTATCGCCATTGCACATTTTTCGATCAGATCAGGAGATCAGACTCGTGAAACTCAAGAAAAAACTAACTTAGTCCACTTAAGCCCCCTCTATTTAAACAGTTAAACGACCTGAGGTAAATTGCGGAAAATATTAGTGATTGTTAATTATTCTTTTAGATCCATGCCATCTTTCCTCCAAACTTAAAATAAAACACGATATCTTTCACATGAACCGCGCTGAAATGATTTAGTTTTCATTATTTTCGGTGGAACATTAAACCTCGTGGTCTACAATGGGTTAATCGTTCTCCGTCAAGGATTGGACTCTATTTCTCGATTTTGATGTTCGATTTCATATTACTAGCTAGCTAGGTTTTTCACACCTGAACACATAATTTTATCCCAATGATAGATACACTTTCTAAAAGATATGCTAATTTTCAATACCCCATTTAATTGGATTTGGTCTAAACAAAGGTTTTAGGGAAAAAGATCAAACAAATAAAATGTAAGGCAAGGACAGCTGCTGGCGATGCAGATTCGGTAGCCGAATTCATCGCCTCGGAGAATGTGCAGCCAAGTACGTCTGCAGCGTCCGTGTCCTTGGTGTCCGCAAGTTCGCCAGTTGTCCCGTTGTTTCACGGCTGGCCCCTGACCTCACATCAAATGATGTAATTGCTTTTATTCAAAGCAAAATAAAAGCCGTGGGTTTAAAGGTGGAGAAATTTAACTTCTCTTATGCCAGGGAGATAGCCTCGTTTAAGATAAGCATCTCCCCAACTCAATTTGACACCATTTGCTCCGCCAAATTTTGGCCGGAGCATTTGGTGGTGAAGGAGTTTAAGGCTAAGAAGAAGAATAGGCCCCCCATATCCCTTCCAAATCTTTCCAGTGTGCCACCCTCAACGTCAACTTCCTCTTCCTCAACTTCCCGTCTTGCTTCCACCTTTCCAAAAAACTAACTTCTCTTTTAGTAACCTATCAGAATGTAAGAGGCTTGCGTAGTAAGCTCAGCATTCTTTTCCGGGATAGTGTTGCATTTGCTTCCCACGTTATTGTGTTTACTGAAACCTGGTTAAAGCCGGACATTCTTAGTTCCGAGGTTTTGGCAGGTCGGTACACAACTTTTAGAAAGAACCGTTCGTCTCGACGTGCAGGAGGGGTTCTAATTGCAGTGGACTCTTACTTCACGTCAGAACACTTCACAGTCCAAGTTCAACAGGAACTGGAATTCCTGTGTGTAAAACTGATTCTTCCCGCTTTCGCTATATTCATTACTTGCTCGTATATCCCACCTTCTTCGGATATTTCAATTTATGAGCAGCACTTGTCCGCTTTAACCGCTGTTTCTTCCTCGCTATCTGATAAAGATCGTATAATAGTTCTTGGTGACTTCAATTTGCCAGGAACTGTTTGGTCTTCGGTAAACGAGTCTAGTATCCTAGTGCCCATGTCTCGACATGACTTTGTTGACGGCTTGCTTGACCTGTCCCTGTCTCAAGTCAATCATGTGAAAAATTCCTTGGGTCGATTGCTTGATCTATGCTTTGTATCGGATCCGACCATAGTGTTGTTAACCCGAGCCCTTCCGCTCACTATACCTGAAGACGCCTACCACCCTACTTTCGAGGTGTCGCTAGATATAGGACCAACTGTATTGGATCGGTCGAGTAGACTACCTCAACGTGTCCGCTGCTTTCGTAAAGCCGAGTTTGCGAAGCTTAGTAACCTAATTAGGGATTTTGATTGGTCCGCTTTGTACTTGTGCACTGATGTCACAAAAGGCACAAACATTTTTTACAATGCTCTTGGCACATTTTTGGATTCTTGTGTCCCGCTTTCTTGTCCGATTAGATCTGGAAAACCCCCTTGGTTTACCAAAGAGTTATCCAGTCTAAAAAACTTAAAATCAAGACTTTATACAAAATTTCAAGAAGTGGGCTCTCCTACTTCTCACTCTCGTTATGTAATAGCTCGGTCAAACTTTTCAGTTCTTAATGCTCAATGCTATAAGAACTACCTATCTCGTTGCAGGATACGTTTTTCTCAGGACCCTAAACAGTTTTACTGCTTCGTAAACAGTAAGCGTAGAACGTCCGCACACCCATCCTCGCTATCATTTTGTAATACGTCGGCAAATAATGATCAGGCAATTGCCGATCTTTTTGCCCAGTTTTTCCAAACCACCTATTCTGAGGAACGCTACTCTGGTCAACCGTACCCATACGGATTACCGAGGTCGAACGGCATTTTCAGTCCCTTGTTAAATGAATATACCCTACTTCAAGATCTTCGACTAGTTAAGCCGGTGTTTTCACCGGGTCCAGACGGGGTTCCAGGTTGTTTACTCAGGTACTGCGCCGAGGCTCTGTGTAGAACATTGCTTAAACTATTCACCCTGTCCATTGATTCCTCTTGCTTCCCCCCAATCTGGAAGGAATCGTTTATAATTCGTCTCCATAAAAAAGGTAGCAAGTCTGATGCAAAAAATTATAGAGGTATAGCAAAGTTATCCGCTATTCCCAAATTGTTTGAGAAGGTTTTAACTCCTCACTTGCAACATCTCTGCAAGTCACTTATATCTCCAACTCAGCATGGATTTATAAGGCGGCGATCAGCCACCACGAACTTGTTAGAGTTTACCTCTTTCATTATTAAAGGCTTTCAAGGTAACTTACAGACGGAAGTTATTTACACCGACTTTAGTAAAGCATTCGACTCTGTAAACCATTCCCTTTTAGCACATAAACTTGACCTTTTAGGGTTTCCGCCCAACCTCCTGAGATGGATTTCTAGCTATCTTTGTTCTAGGTCTCAAAGAGTCCTCTTCAAAAACTCCCTCTCTTTACCAGTAAAGGTTTCTTCGGGAGTACCACAGGGCAGCCATCTAGGCCCCTTACTCTTCACACTCTTTATTAATGACTTGCCTTCAGTATTAACATACTCTCGAGTACTTATGTATGCGGATGATGTTAAACTCTGTGTCCAGTACAAGGACATTTCATTTAATTCTCGCTTGCAATCCGATCTCAATAGCTTTCAGTCATGGTGTTGTGCAAACTTGTTACACCTTAATGCCTCGAAATGCAAAGTTATGACATTTCATCGTTCTAGCCCATGGTTGGCTCCGTACAGCCTATTTGGTGGTTCTCTTGAGAGAATTACCCTGGTGGATGATCTGGGTGTTATGTTAGACCCCAAGTTAAAGTTTTCCGAACACATTTCTACCATGGTAAGTAAGGCCATGGGCGTGCTTTGGTTTATAAAGAGGTGGTCAAAGGAATTTGTCGACCCCTATATAACAAAGACTCCTGTGTATGGTGCCCTCAGTACAAAGTACACCAGGACCGTATAGAATCAGTACAGAAAAACTTTTTACTCTTTGCTCTGCGGGGCCTTAACTGGGATGCGGGTGTAAGACTCCCATCTTAGTCTAGTAGACTCCTATTAGTAAACCTCCCATCCTTAGTTAACCGTAGAAAAATGCTTGGTGTGATATTTATGCACAACTTGATCAGGGATGACATAGACAGCCCTGATCTGTTGAGCCGCACAAACTTCACGATTCCTATTAGACTGACTAAAAATTTTATACCGTTGTTCCTTCCACTTTGTAGATCGAATTATTCCTTGCATGAACCGTTTAGGGTCTTATGCTCGGATTATAATTCCATCTACCATATTATATCCAACACTAATTCTCTTCCTCTTATTAAATTACTAATCCTTACACACCTTTCTAGTAATTAGTAATTGTAGTGGTATTTGAATTTTGATTGCATGCTTAGTTTCTTAGTAAGTTTAGTGCTAATTTTCCTCGAATGTTAGTCTAATAGCTATCTTTTTGCATGTTCGCGTTTGGTTCGGCTACGCACCGCGCGTCATGCGGCAGCGCCCCTCGGTCGGTTGGGCGGGAGGAGGGCTGCGTTTTGCCTGGGATCCGCGCGCAACAGCCTTCTGCTGGTGTCACACGGGCCACTTGACGGTGCAGTAACTGCATCGCCTCTTGAAAGATGCAGTCATTGCATGTCAACGTCCAAAATATAACAAAAAAATATAAAAATATGTTAATCGTTCCTATTGCTCAATTTGTATAACGGAACAACATGGAGCTTGAAGACGTTTTCACATGACACCCACTAATGTCTGCCCGGGGAAATGATGTGCGTCGAGCCATCAGATACATGGAGCAGCAGTCCCATCTGATCGAAATTTTCAAGGAGCAGCCATTTCTGATCATTTTTGATGAGTTTCACTTCAGGCCGGTACCCATTGAAGATAATTTGAAGTCGCTGCAGTGTGTGTCCAACTACTTCCCATTCCTGTGGGACGAAGGCCACTTGCGGAAGAAATTAGTAACAGATTGGGAAAAATTTACGAGAGCACCGAAACACATGGGAATCTCAGGTTTCCGAAATAACTAGCACGCCACCAAACGAATTACAAGACTTCAATTCCAATAAAGTCTTAAATTTAAAATAGGTTATTGGCGCTGAATTTCGGGCAATCGTCCACACACCTTTATCTTGAGCAAAGTTAATAGCTCCGATTTTCAGCTTCGCGGAGTGATCCTCTCCTCAAATGTGTACTACATCCTTCAGTTTATCCACATTACACATGCGGATGAATTCACCGACACACGGGTGAATTTTTTCCCGCGTGGTAGGAGTTTTAGCTTTTATATATAATGTAGACTCCCCATTCTCACGGCCATGGCCGGACATCTTATATCCTCTGAAAGGAAGCCAGGGCGGCCAAGGTTTTGGAGGTGTTCACCGAAACAGTGCCGGCACGCAGGGAACCGGTTTTCAATGTAGTTGTTGGCCTTGTCCAGATCCTTGGTGAAAACAGCGGCGACCAGGCCGTAGTCTGAGTTGTTGGCACACTCGATGACCTCGTCCAGCTTCTTGAAGCTGCTGCGTCCGGCTGCTGGACGGGCCCGAATATCTCCTCGCGCGCAATTTTCATGTTGTCCTGGACATCGGCAACATCCGTTGGCTGGACAGAGTAACCGGGAAGGCCTTTGGGACGGTTACC